CCGCCTCAACCTCCGCCGCTGCCTCCACCACCACCGCTGGCACCACCACCACCGTCTCCGCCGCTGCTGCCACCACCACCACCACCCCCGCCACTAGTCCCGCCGCCACCCCCACTCCCTCCGCTGCCACCGCCGCCACCGCCACCGCCCCCTCCAGCTCCACCCGCGCCCTTGCCCCCCTTGCCCTTGCTGGAGCGACGTCTCCCACTAGGGGTAGACGCCGCGCCGACCGACTCAAGACCAAGCAGGTCGGCAGCAGCAGCGGGGCCGTAGGGTGCAGCGGCGGGCCGACCAGGTGGGGCGGCGGGCCGTAGGGTGCAGCGGCGGGCCGTAGGGTGCAGCGGCGGGCCGGCAGGTGCAGCGGCAGGGCCGTCAGGTGAAGCGGCGGGCCGCTGGGTGCAGCGGCGGGCCGGCAGGTGCAGCGGCGGGCCGGCAGGTGCAGCGGCGGGGCCGTCAGGTGAGGCGGCGGGCCGTAGGGTGCAGCGGCGGAGCCGGCGGTGGGGCCGCGTCAGTGGAGGCGGCGGGGCCGCGTCAAGCAGGCGGCGGGGCCGCGACGAAGCGGGCGGCAGGGCCGCGTCAGAGCCGGCGGCGGGGCCGCGTCAGTGGAGGCGGCGGGGCCGCGTCAAGCAGGCGGCGGGGCCGCGACGAAGAGGGCGGCAGGGCCGCGTCAGAGCCGGCGGCGGGGCCGCGCCAAGCAGGCGGCGGGGCCGCGATCAGGAGGGGTGGCGGGGCCGCGTCTGAGGGACAGCGGGGCCGCGAGGGAAATGGCGACCCGAGGGGTCGCTAAAAAAAAAGGCGCGCCTCGGGGCGCGCTTCGGTGGGCCCTAAAAAAAAACGGTCCTAAGGAAGGACCCGCTCTATACCATGTGAAACAAGTGAACAGGAATGGAAATGACTAAGTCAGAGTTGGGTACAAATACAACCCTAGAAAGCTGTACCCCATATGTGCTACCCCACTATAGCCTACAAACATGCATCAGCTATAATACTCTGACATGCAATGCATGCTCTATAAACAGTCACGTATTCTATGAACATTCTCTCTCAAGTACACGTGGATTGCTGTGACTTAGGCCTAGCTACGATATGAGGCTAGTGGTATTTCAGGTTGCCTGTAGAATGGGGCTATGGTATGAGGCTAGTGCAATCTTAGGCTACATTTAGCAAGACGTTGCATGAAGCATGGAGTTGCATGAAGCATGGGGTTGCATGAAGTCTGGAGTTCTGTGAAGCATGGGGTTGTATGCAATGCAACATCGATCATGTTGAAGGATGAGTTGGTTGCAGAATTGGTTATGGTGCCTTATGAGACTACCTTCATCATAGTACTGCTTCCAGCATAGAGCTGGATACAGCATGTGGATGTGCTAAAGGGATATGCTGGGGATATGCTAAGCAAGGGTTTGCGCTAAGCATGAGGTTGTTGGCATCATGGGGTTAGCTAATTGCAAGATGGGGACAGCTACTACATTGAGTTGGCTTTGGCATGAGGCTGCCTACAGCATGTGGACGATTAAAGTTGCATACAATATTAGCTGCTGCACCATATAGCTGGCTGCAACATGGGGCTAACTGCACTGTCGGGTTGTATAGTCTGGCTACGTGGATGCAGCGTAGCGCTGCTTGGAGCACGGGACTGTCTACGATATGGGACTTCATACAGCATGGGGCTGTGTGTAGCATGGACTGTTCATAGCATTGGGATGTCTACAACATGGTATTGGCTACAACATGGGTGATGCTGTATGTTAGAATATTATCTTATTGTTCTAGCCTGTAGTGGGGTGCTCTATAGCGAGTACAACCCTTCTAGGGTTTGCTATTTGTATCCCCATTTCTGCTAGTTCAAACCCTCTTTCTTTCTTCTAACTTTTGTCATGCTATCAGAGCAGGTCGATCCCCTTGGATCGATCCTGTGGGTGGGTTTCCACCTCGCTTCCGCTGCTACCTTTCCTTCCCGCCGTGCGCCCCGAGGCGCGCGGCGGTTTTCCTTCCCGCCGTGCGCCCCGAGGCGCGCGGCGGTTTTCTGCCCGCCGTGCGCCCCGGGGCGCGCGGCGGTTCTTTGCCCGCTGTGCGCCCCGAGGCGCGCGGCGGGCGTCTGCCCTACCTTCGCGGGCGTCCGCCCTACGTCGCGGCCCCGCCCTGCGTCGCAGCCCCGCCCCTCGAAGCGGCCCTGCCCTACGTCGCGGCCCCGCCCTACGTCGCGGCCCCGCCCTGCGTCGCGGCCCCGCCCCTCAAAGCGGCCCTGCCCTACGTCGCGGCCCCGCCCTGTGTCGCGGCCCCGCCCCTCGAAGCGGCCCTGCCCGACCGTCGCGGCCCCGCCCCTCGTCGCGGCCCCGCCCCTCGTCGCGGCCCCGCCCCTTGTCGCGGCCCCGCCCTCCAACCAGGCCCGTGGTGGGCCCCTTTCACCACACCGCCTCCCCCCCCCCCCCCCCCCCCCCCCCTCCCCCTGCCATTTCCCGTCGCCCGTCGCGGCTCCTTCGGGGGCCGCGGCGAGCTGTGGGGTGGCGGGTATGGGGGTGCTCGGTGTGCCTTCCTCCCTTTGCTCCTCCTCCTCCTTCGTCTCCCACTGCTGCAGCTGTCGCTGAGGGGGGTGGTTGTGTGGGAGACTCGGGTTTAGGGTTTAAGGGGGGTGCGTGGGAGTGCAGCTAGCGGTGTAGCAGTGGGTGTGCATCAGGGGGGTGGGACTGTGTGCGGGAGGTTGAGTGGAGGTTGTCAGTTTGTCGTTCGCAGCACCTGTAGTCCGGGGCGCTGTCCCGGTAGCCCAGTCGTAGCCAGCTGTGCCAGCCGCCCGTGGGTCCGTTGCCCGTCCGCCGCTATTTGAGCCGCGGGGCCTGTTACTCCTGTAGTCCGGGCGCTGTCCGGTAGCCGCTGTGCCAGTGTGCCTCCTGTTGCCCGTGTGCCTGCAGCTTCAGCCGTCGCCTCCTATCTCCTCTCCCCTCACTCTCTCTCCTCCTCCTCACTTGCCCGTTGTGACTACCACTAGCTCTGCTCATAATTGTGAACTCTAAACTATCTCTTCTTGAACTTGTGCTCAGAATGTGTGGTGACATTGTGATCCACCCTGAGCTTGTACTACTTTGCCTGCTCTGCTGATTACACCCCACTTTGGCTATGGGGGTGTGTCAGAATATTATCTTATTGTTCTAGCCTGTAGTGGGGTGCTCTATAGCGAGTACAACCCTTCTAGGGTTTTCTATTTGTATCCCCATTTCTGCTAGTTCAAACCCTCTTTCTTTCTTCTAACTTTTGTCACTGTAGCATGGTGTTGTGTGCTGCATGGGGATACGTGCAACATGGGGTTGTCTACGACATTGGACTGCTTGTAGCATCGAGTAGCCTGCATCATGGGGACTTGTGCAACATGGAACTACCTGCAATGTATAGGTCTCCATGCAACATAGTACTGTCCTCAAGTTGTTGATGCATCTTTTGGAGAGTAGTCAGAGCTGCGGCTCCAGCTTCGAGAGAAGAATTGACAGCGCAACAGCCTCAGTCATTCAGGTGCGTAAGAAGTTGGCACAGTCCTCGTGTGACCAGCTAGGCTGCCCAAAACTTCGAGGCTGTTGGGCGACCGGGGCACACTAGTGGGCAGGGGCAGCTGTTGGGGTGTGGCGGGGGCCATGCCGCGCACTTGGGGACGTTGCGGCATAAAGAACGTCAAGAGCCTTGACGTAGTGAGTAACTGTGCCGCTTCTTGATAGAGTTTCCCAAGGGGGATTGTGTTGACTAGGGTGAGCAGATGCTTGCCTTCGTCCAGACAACAAAGGTGCTCACGAACGTGCTCGAAACTCATCCCGCTTGGGCCTGCTCCTACGCCATTTTTGCAAGTCGAGAGGATGTTACAAAGGTCCTGCAAGGTTATTGAAGGCGCATGTGAACATGAGCTTTGCTTGAGCCACTCAGGCAGGTCGTTACAGCACAGGAGGTCGCGGGTGCGTAAGACTTTTGAAGTCTCAGGAGTTGGAGTTTACATATGTGCTTTCCAACACCTAAAGCGCTTTGGCTATGTTTTCCTGCTTATCCACGCCAGCTTTCCAGTTTTGTCAAGTGCCTGTTTTGGTGTTGAGGTGAGGTCGATAACATCACCGACCGTAAGCCAGCTTCCTCCCCCGCTCGACCTGGCGCCTCATCCTCCTGCTGCTGCTATACCACTTCTCATTGGTGCTTCCGTGCTCCCCCTACAAAAGTTCGTTCTTCCCTCGCAACAGGAGCCACCGATGTTGCCTGCACAGCCCGCTGAGGCACTTCTACATTTGTGCCTCCAAGGGTATGGTGCGCGCCTCCAAAGGGTGGGCCTCCCATGTATCAGACATTTGTGGAAGCTGAATATGGTTGACGTGGCGAACTCTCGTTATATGGTATACCTCCGCCTCCTCTTGTGCATTTCCTGCATCATCCTCCTACGCAGACAACGGAAACTCTTGACCATCCAACATTGGAGGTAGGAGCAGCAGCGAGGATGGTGGCAAAGGGCTGGGTCTCCCCAAAGTTCCAGTTGTTTCGATCCACTACCTGTCGTTAGTCAGGGATTCATGTAGCGGTTGGGGATTGTTTCGCAGACGTACTAATGCTCCTCGTCCGCTTGAGGTGGAGGGGCACAACCTTATGCATCTGGGGCACGTGAGGTCCTTTGTGGCTATTGTTGCTTTGATGATCGACAATGTAGCGGCAACTCCGGAGAATCTACCAGGTGAGATCAAACGTGATGAACCATGTACAGATGCGGGCAAGTCGGGATGGGGCGTGGGGTGTTGAAGCACAAATTGGCGCGGACAGAGTTAGAGCCTAATAGATAGCTTGTGTTGGGCGCGGCACTGAGATGGGAATGCGAACCCTAAACCCGCAGTCAGTTGTAGTGATGATGTGCGGCCTCGTGTTAGCGCTCTGTCTGTTCACGAAATGGCAGAGTGGCTTCTACGGCGCGCGGAGTTGTAAGTGGTCGGTTGTCGGTAGCACCTGAGGCATGGTTGGCGTAGTCATACTACTTGCTATTTGTCCTATATTGCTCGTCCTATAATGGTTTGCCTACGCTTGCTATTGCTGCAAGCATGACGCGAGCCGTTCTCTCTCTCTCTCTCTCTCTCTCTCTCTCTCTCTCTCTCTCTCTCTCTCTCTCTCTCTCTCTCTCTCTCTCTCTCTCTCTCTCTCTCTCTCTCTCTCTCTTTTACTATCTTTCTATCTCTATTTGTTTCAATTCCTTTCTTTTTCTCAAATATGCACCCCAATTTTCCTTGTAATGATTGAACAGCCACCGAAGGTCGCTAGCTTTAGCAATCTGATGAAGGTTCTAAACATACCGCAAGAGCCTTTGAACTTCATGGTCCGTGGGATGATTGTCAATGTTCGACCCCACGATCTCGATCAGCCAACCGCGGATAGATTTCCGGCAAAGTTGTATGTGATGGACGCTGAAGGAAACGTCATGGAGTTGTTTTTTTGGTCTGAGAGGCAGCCGCCACCAGCACCATGGACAATGGTCAGATGCTTCAAAACGCTTGGAGAGTTCGTGCTTGGAGCCACATACGACATCTGCTCCATCAAATGCACTATCTCCAAGAAACTTGGGTGAGATTTTACAACAAATTTGAAGTCATAGTTTGCTTAAATGCATTTATAGTATGGGTCTAGTCTAGTCAGCATGAGGTTATCATCAGCATGGGGCTTACCTTTATATGCATAGTTGCAATATGAAGTTGGTTGCACAAAATAGAGCCTGCAGCATAAGGTTGCATGTAGCATGGGGCTGCCTACAGCATGTGGCTGCCTGCAGTATAGAGCTGCTTGTAGCATAGGGTTGCCTGCAGCATGGGGCTGCCTGCAGCATGGGGCTGCCTGCAGCATGGAACTGCCTGCAGCATGGGGCTGCCTGCAGCATGGGGCTGCCTGCAGCATGGGGCTGCCTATCGCATGGGGCTACCTGAAGCATCTAATTGTCCGTACCATGAGGTTGTATATGAAGTGGGGCTGACTATAACATAGTGTTGCTCGCAGCACGGGATTGTCTGTAGTCTGAGGCTATCGTGATATATAGATGTTTGCAACACGAAAATGCATACTACACTATGCTTTCTTCAACATAGAGCTACCTACAACATAAGTTTAAATGAAGCGTAGGATCGGTAGCATTTTTAAACTTTCCATATATCAATAAATCACAAAAACTTCTTTCAGGTACTCCGCTGGCATACTTGACGGTGTACTCACCTGGAAGCACCGTTCATCTCATGCTCGCATGGCGGATGAGAACGACAGCATTCCGCTGAGTGTGTTCACCCCTACACGGCTTGATGCATTGTTCTCGCCCGATCCATGCACACGCCGTCGGGTATGTGTTCATACCATTTTGTGACATTATACTTGATATCATACATCATATTGTGTTATGTTAGTTTATGTCAAATATGCTTCTGACGCTTATTGATGATTTTTTTTTGTTACGTGATCATACAGTTCCACATTTGTCATCAACGCTCATAATAACAATAGTTTGTTCAAACTGTTTAAATATTTCTTACTTGTAGGTCTCATCCTTTATTGTGGAGCTGACAGTCTCCAAGATGGAGCCCGGTTTCTTGCTGCGAGCTCTATGTTCTGTACGTGACGAGAGCGGACGCTTTGGCTTGACGGCGTTAGGCTCATCAGCGGACCGGATTCGCATGTTCGTGGAAGAGCAACAGATGCTGACCAGGACATCATTCACGTCGACTTCAGTGGTCTTGTGGATCACAGAGCTCTACGTCGACCATCCTCATATCTACACGACCAAGAGGTATCGTAAGACCAGGAGATATCGTAAGAGTCGTCGTAATGTGCTATGTCAGTTAACCGTGTGCAAGTATTTGAATGTGCACTGTGTTGATATATCTATATTGTTCGTGATTTGTGCGACACTAACTATCTTCCTATTTTGGCTATTGTAATCTTTCCTAAAGGTCGAGGGTCATCAAGATTACAGATGATGCTCTTGCTGCTCGAGTCACGCAGAGTCCGACTCCTGTTCACACCGCATCAGCCGACGTCGGCAACGTCACTTCGTAAGTGAAACATGTTGTTCATAGTTATCATGTATGTATTGCATGTTCGTCCACGCTAAAGATAGTATCAATTCTACAATCAATAACTGTTTGTATGATGATGTTCGGATTCTGTAAACTTGTTTAAATCGTTTATTCTCCCCCTTCCAGTTTGGGAGCAGTGGAAGACAACGTGGTCTTTTTGGGCAAAGAGATCACGTGTGCACTCAGCGTGAAAATACGCAGCACCGACATCACTACAGCATCGTTCTGCCCGTTCAGGCTGTCGGACGATGCCCCTGATGTTTGCGGTTTCCCCGTCACCGGATGGTGTTTCACCAACGACGGGTACCTCTGTGACATAGGGCACGTGTCACAGGACACGATCGAGCGAGATACCGTTGTCGCAGTCTTCGACACGACGACAGGTGCTTGTGTATCCACATTTTATGTTGTACTTGTCGTTTGGTGTTCTATCTTGCATTACTTTATTGATGTTATGATCTTCTCACTAAATTTGCTTTGAATGTTTCTTTCCCTTCCAAAGTTGGAAAGACCGCCCGCACAGGTGTGACTGCGATAGTGAGCTTGGGTGCTCTCGAGGACGGGCTGGAAGATTTCAGCATCGAGACATGGACCGCAGCTGATCGTGCTGGGAAGAGGGAGATATTGTCGAAACTCCTTCATACACGTCTTCAAATCAAGGTATGTAGCGCAATACGACAATGATGCTGTATGCTACAAGCGATCCTAAGCTGAAAGCGGCATTGTACAGTAGAAGTAAACATATCCTAAAAGGAACATCCTGCTACAGCCGATCCCATTGTTTAATATTGTGTATTGATTAAATTTGTATTGTGATATAAGGTCATACCATAATCATCGTTGGCCAAAACCCCATGTTTTTGGTCGTTTGTCTTTTCTCCCCCTATCACAGATGGTTACAAAGGCTGCTGGAGATCGCTTTGACAGGGTTATCAATACGATCATCATGGTAATTCTGTATTTGATCATTATTTGAACCATGACATAATATGATATTTTTGTTCTTTACGTATGTTCTCTTGTTTGCACATCAATTGACAAGTTATTTGCATTATTTTCATATTTGCGTGTTATTTGTAGGAGAAGCATGTTGCGGCTATGAACGACAACAACAAGCGTGTGGCGTCGAGTGTTCCTCCTACCATTCCCACGACACCCGTGAAGCTCGCCCAGCGTTGTGGCAGCCAGGTAAGACGCAAACCATCAATTTTATCATCAATCATTATACTCAACTTCTGTATATGCATATGAGACAAAGTACATTATGGGATTGGTTGGAACATGTGTTTTTTGCACCGAATTTGTAGAGTTATATACTTGTTGCATTTTGCACACCGGTTTTTATTATATTACTTATTATCCTATATTTTACGCATATGTTCGGTTAATTGTTATGTTTTGCAGGGTCTGTGAGCCCCAACATCTTCATTTGCTTCCTGATTCTTGAAGTGCAAGGATGAAGCACTGCAAATGAAGAAACGTGAGGGAAAGGAAGATGGGAAGAATTCAGAGGAAATATGCGAGTTCGGGCAAGAATGGCGGTTGCAATGGATTATATTCACTAGGACGACCCCTTGATACATGTATATGCGGTCTATCATATGTGTGTGCATGCGTGTCTCTGTATCTGTTTGTGTGCGTGTGCACGCGCGTGCTGGCGCATGCGTCTATATATATGAACAACCTTGGATGGTGTTGGTTGTTTTGTTTCGAAGTTTGGTCTTAATATGTGTCGTGCTGCAATTCAAGATTGTCATCGTCGTTGATGCAACGTGTCTTTGTTGTTTCAACGACCCCATCAATCTAGGTTGCAACATTGACGCATATTAGTATCAGCTTCGGAACATATGTTTTTATGTTCGTTCACTCATGTCTGTTACTTATGTTCGTTTCGATGTGTGGTGTTCTTACGTATCGTGCTGCAGTTTGAGATTGTCATCGTCGTTGGTGCAACGTATCTTCGTTGTTTCAACGACCCCATCAATCTCGGTTGCAACATTGATATGCATTAGCATCCATTTCGGCACGTTCACAAACACTTGTGTCGTCGTTCATTCGGTATCCCGTGTCAGTTGCACTCGTACATGTTGATGCTATGTTATATTGTTCGATCATACCATCCGCCGTATTAATCGACGATGCTGGGATGGTCGGACATGTTTATGGCTTCAACATGGAACGCTCGTAATTGGTTTCACGTTTTGGAAGATGTAATTCAAAGTGTTGTTTTTAGTCACTTTTTGGGCATTTGCTTCAAATGTGTGCCCCCAAAAATGATTTGAAAAACAATCTTGAATGATATCCCCAAAAATTGGAACTGATTATATAGGGTTGCTACGCAACCCAAAAACTAAAACCCATCCGGAAGGCACGCGGCTCGGGAGGCATCAACCACGCGGAAGCGATCTGCCCCTCGGGCAAGAAAAAAAACTAAAACCCTCTCGGATGGAATGCCATCCGAGGGAGGCATCAGCCCTAAATCACAGGGAGGCATGGATTTAGGGTTGATGCCTCCCTGACCGGATGCATGCCCGACTGGGGTTTTTTTTTTGCCCGCGGGCAGCGAGCTCCCCCGGGCGACGACCTGAACGCGCTACACACCAAAGTCAGTACCCCTTGCAGGCAAATCTTGTAGATTTGAAATAGGGTGTATGTGAGATCCGCGAAACCAATTTCAGCTGGCTGCCTTTGGCGAGAACAACTATCCTCCGCAAACAAGTGAACATTTCGCACCCACCAAACCTGCGAATCCCACCAACCCAAAGCGACAAATGTGTCGCACACATCCCTCTCTTGCATTGAGCATGGAAAGTGTGGCTCACTCGAAGTCTCCTCACCACTGAATCAGCTCGATGCTAACGGGAAATAGAAAAACAGAGCAGCGCACGTGTTGGGTATCGATGCCACATACTCAACGCCACAACAGACATGTGTTCGGGACGATCCAGTGCCCAGATTACTAGCTTACCGACCATCGCAGGAGCTGGCAACAGCAAAGTGTAGGAATGTGCAAGCGCGATCGCACTTACGAGAAAAAAAAAAGTGACGACAGACTGGAGACTACGGGAAGTTAGGAACAACAAGAAACCGGAAGTGTATTGGAGTCTTTGTTACTAGCTAGGGGGAAGAAAGCGGACGTGATAGGGCTCTCGCACCAAACGCCGAGCAGCACCCGCTCGTCGCATTTAGCTGCTCGCGTTCTGTGCGACGCGGAGCCCGCATTCCTCGCGACGCTGAGCCCGCATTTCATGCGACGCTGAGCCCGCATTCCTCGCGACGCTGAGCCCGCATTCCACGCAACACTGAGCCTGCATTCCTCGCGACGCTGAGCCCATATTCCTCGCGACGCTGAGCCCGCATTCCTCGCGACGCGGATCCCGCATTTTAGGCGGATAAGAGCCCGCCTTCCAGTCGATGCGGAGCCCACGTTCCCGGCGACGCGGCGCCCGCATCCCAGGCGACGAGCAGCGCGCGCTCTAGGTGATCGGGCTTGGGCCACCGCGCGCACAACTAAAGTGGATACTGCGCACTGACGGGGAGCAAGGGGCGGCACACGCCCCTGCGGGTCGCGAGAGAGGAGAGCCCAGGTGAGTGCCCAATTTCCTGCATCCCAAAAATGT